AGATGTTACAGCTATCTCATACCTCAGACGTATGGTCTTCTTTGGGGCACAGGCAGTCTGTGAGAAGACACATCAGCCAGTCCCAAAAATGCCAGTACAGGTGACAGTACCTTCAAGAAATTCTGACAAGACAATACTGAGCTGCCTCCAATTATGGCTAAATTACTGCTTAGTATTCAAGGGAACTCAGTATTGTTCCGAAAGCTTTCTTGTCCATGACAGTTTTTTTCTTTTGAGTGCAGTAAAGCTGCATAGTGTCAGGAATGTTTTCAGAAGTCAGTCTTGCTGATTTAAGAATATAGCTAAAACACTGACTGAAGTCTTTGCTTCTTTCTCCTCTACTCAAGTTTTTCACCAGATAATGTGAAATAGCCAAATCCTTCAAGCCTTGTCTTCCCCCTGCCCCCTCCCCCCCCAAATATTTTCTGCCTTTTTATTGTTATTACTATTATTATTAAAAGAAGGAACCAATGGGAAAATTGAGCTTACAGTTTTGCCATTAAATGGTCCTCTCCTCCCATATTTTAAGAACAGTCACCGTGGGCTTGAACATACCTGCATACCCCTGTTTCAGCACACTTCTGGGACACCTTATTATCAGATAGCTAACTTGCAGCACTCAGTATTTTGGAATACCATTTCTTCCCAGGGCCTTTCTCAGTACCTTGTCAGACAGATCTGTTAAACGAGGTTTGGAAGAATGAGCTTCTGTTTTCAAGAAGAGAAAATATCAGAATGACAAGAAACTGGAAAGCTAAACTATTTCAGATCTGCTTGCAGAAGTGTTAGAAATGGTTGTCTTTTACACGCAAAAGCTTTGACAAAAAGGAAACATTTTTTCTACTTCAGGCACCACCTCCAACAGTGGTATCTTGTTCTTAAGGGGGGAAAAAAAAAAAAAGAAAAAGGAATGGTCTACTGAAGGAATAGGTCACTGAGCTTTATTCTTTTAATGACTAAATTTATCATGCTAGCATTTGTTCCCATAAGAGTCACACGCTCCTTAGCCTATTTTTACTCTGTGTGTCTTTTCTAGATTCACCCCCTCAATGCAGAGGTTGCTCTGCATGCTGTTCTCACCATTTCAATAACATCTTGTCCAGGACTACAGTTCCTGGTTCCCCAAAGTTGGATGACATATGCACATACATGGCTGACACAATATGAAACTACACCAGCTTACTGCACAGCGGTGTGGCAAGAGTCTTCAAGAATTCTTACCAATGTTCTTTGAGTTCTTGTTTCACCATTCCCAAGAGAAATCCAACTATATATGGACTTTGTTACCCTCCTTGGATTCACAACCGATGAATATTTTCTGGTTAAAAACTCGATAAGGGTTTTCTGAACCCTTAAACACTGAAGAGTTGACAACTGTTGTTGTCTCTGTGTTTTGGGGTTTGTTTCTTGCTTTTTAGGATCTCTCCTGCTCCTGGGGACACTTGATGATGATTTTTAGACCTCTGAAAAACTCCTCTACACAATTTCCTACCTCTAACACCCGTACTTTTTAATTATTGTTTAACTACTTTCTTCCTTATACTTTCATTTAATTTTCCTGCTTTGTACTTTTTATCACTAACACTCATTTATTTACTGGCTTTAAAGATCCACACAAACTCACTCCTCTGAGAATTCCTTTCTAAAATACAAGATTTAACAAATCCCTTTGCATCAGAAGAAATGGAAAGTCCCAAGTTAAAAAATTAGAAGAAGCTGCGGCCCATCATGCATGCCACCAGGTTCAGTGCTCACAGTGCAGAAGTGTGCTGTGGGAATATGGACAGAGAAAGGGGCAAAGTACAGGTTGCTCAGAGCTCTACAAGGGAAAGGCAGGCAACAGCAAAACAGGATGGTAAGACCTTTCTCCTGCAGCATACAAGGAGGACATTCAGCAGCACCAGTAAGTTACAGTAAACAACAACCATCAAAACATTTTTTTACAAGCAATGGGTTTTGGTAACTGAGTTTGCCAAAACAGTGAAACCCTACAACCTCCATTTTCCTGCTGCTACAGAACAGAAATCCCAGAATGACAGAACCAAATGTTAGGGAGAGAAACGTACTCTTTAGAAAATTAATACAATCTGACAGTTCCACAAGGTACCATTTAATTACTGCATTAAAAAGCAATCATCAGACTCTATGCAAGCAAACCATTAATAGACAGATGTTTACTTGTATTTGAAAAATATCCTTTCATAGGAGAATGTTTATCTTGCATACTTGATAAATAAAAACTTTCTTATACAAGATTGTTAAAAAATAATAGATATTGCAAGTGGTTTACAAGTCAGGCATTTAACAACAGTGCCTTCACGTGTTTATTATAGGCATTTTCTTGTTTTAAAGTCAGGATTCAGAAATGTTTTATTGCAGTTCTGTCCACCTACACATCCAAAAGCAAATTAGGTCAATTCTAAACTATTTGCAAAACCTCCTACAGATGAAGTAGTTTGAGATTTTAAAACATGTTAAGTTTGAAATAAGCAGAGTCAACCTAGCAGAGTCACAAACCTTGTAAACTGTCAGGTTTTGGAACTGGCCTAGGAATACATCCCCAAAGCAGCAAGAAACAACATGCAAAAAAGACTGCCCTTGGCCAAAGGCTGCATCCATATAAACTATACTAATAGTTACATAATGTTTATTATATCAAGTTCTCTGATTGCTTCTAAATTTATTTCTACTTTTCGAATCCATAACATCTAACATCCCATGGCAATGAGATCCATCCTCTAACTATGTGTTGTATGAAAAGAATGTTTCCTTGTGTTTATTTTACTGTTAGGTAAGAACCAGAAGTCAACAAAACTGATATAAGAATTAATTACTAACCACAACCTTCCCAATTTTTGCACAGCATTAATAATTTTATATGTGTATTTCTTTTATATGTGTATATGTGCATTTCTTCTCAACTTATTTCTTTTCCCAGTTGCAGAGTTCTGACTACCGTGTTCAAATACAGGTGTCAATCTCCCCATACACAACCTGGTTTATCCATATTTAAAAAAAAAAACAATATCTACAGCTGTTTGAACTATTACAGACTGATCATGAATATCATTGTTGTTTATATATTGAATTATATTCAGCTTCAAGATCTCGAGACAATTCTCCCCAGCAAGCGTTGCTGCAAAGTATTGTAAAATTAACTCTTGTGCCACTTCCCTTGTCATTTTGTGTTATTTTCCCACAACAGTTCATTTTCACAGATTTGGGATATTAACCTTCTGAATAGTGTATAAGTACAAGCTGGTTTTTTGCTGTTTAACCTCCTTCATAAAGTTAAAAATGTCAAACAGCAAAGATCTCCAAGTAGATTCCTGTAGGATTCTACACAGGACTTTCCTCCACTGTGACATTTTCTTCTTATTCTTTGTTTCTTATCTGAAAAGTTATTAACCCAGGAGGATTATTTTCTTACTTCTGTGACCATGTGGCTTCTTGAAGAAACTGGCTGCCATGGATGAGTGTGGTTGGATCGTATGGCACAGTCCTCACATGCCCACCAACTCTCCTACCCATCAGACTTCCATCTATAGAATGCATCCAACAATCACACTGGTTCTTCTTCATTATCTTACCTTCCCTGTGTATATGTTTTTCATATTCATAAACACATCTCCTCCTTTGATTCCGTGACAGTTTTAATTTTGGTATGGTGAGAAATAAAACTTCCTGGACTGGAGCTTCAGACAGAGAAAGTTACGTTTCCAAATTCTGTTATTGTGCATTTGAAATAGTCCAGACCTATGGAGCGCACCCTGATTAGATCTAGACAATTCATTATTCATTTTAATCTGCTTTTTCTAACTCTACAGTTTGCAACAGAACACGTGAGGCATCTTAAGTAAGCTCTAGTGTGGGAATTTTCATATTTCCTCCATAATCAACACAGACACAACAAGGGTCTTTAAGATTTATCTCCTGCTACTGTTCTCATGCCCTGACCCATACTGGACCTAAAGACCCTGTTATGTTGCTTCCTCTGCTGTGCCTGAAGATTTCTTCAGAGCTCCTTCTGTGCCTTCTGATTTTTACAGATAACTTAGCAGTTGTGCATTCTTTTCTTTCTCACCCTGGGTTACAATTTCCACTTTATAATGTCACTCTTTATAAAGTCCATTTTGGACTTCCCTTCTTCACAGCTTAACAGTACTACTTGTTTTTAGGTTTTTTTTCCCCTTATAATAGAGGGTAGATATTTAATATTTAATACGGAGGCTCTCAGTCCACTAAAAGCTTTATTATTTAAGCTCTTCCTTTTAACTATTTCTTAACCAGCTTCCTCATTCAGACGTAATCTCTCCATAAAATGTTACTGCAATGTATTTTAGAATTCCTCTTAAGTAACAGAGAAATCATGATTGTTATGGCTACTCTCGAAGGGAAGCTCAGCTGTAATTTCATCTAAAAGTAGGTCTTGTGCAGTGTACATTTATCATGAGCTACTCCTCACGTGGGCTGACAGTTTATCAGGAAACACAATATATTCTTCATCTCTACATCTGCTGAGTCTTTGTACACGTAATAGAACATATGATAAGGCAAATGTTTCTTCCCTTAGCATCTTACCTTCTGTAGCACTTCACAGTAATTTTCCATTCTGTTTGCATGGTCAACAGTCTCATACTCACAGCATTTTGATTTATTTGCACACAAATGCAAGTCATAAGAGTACCTTCTTATCTATGCTTGCATAGCTTGGACTGTAAACCCCAGCATATACTAATGTCTCTCTCAGAGTAGTTTGCAATGTCATGTCTATATAAACATTTACCCTTATACTAACGTCTTGCATCACTTTGCTGAGATGCCAAATATATCAGTATACAGATTTAGAACCAGCATTCCAGCTCTCACACTCAATTTCTCATATTTCAGATTTTCTCCAGAAGGCCATCTACAACTGGTCCAATTTTTCTCCCTTTTTTTTTTCTTATCTTTTTTTTTTTAATATATTTTTAAAAGAGAAGCAAGCAGCAGATACATACATGACGGTGTTAATCCCTGACAGTTGTTGAAACATCTGCAGACCACAACCCACAATTAAGGCTCTTCGAGTTGGAGGGTATGTTAGCATTCTGCAGATCACAGGTCCAGCTTAAAAATAAAAAATAAAAAAACAAGAATACGTAATAGTTCTTAAGTGATCTCTACAAAACAATGTTCCCAGGCACAACAGGTCTTGCACCTTAGTTTCACACAAGCTTGGCCTATTTCAATTATTTTTGAACCACTTGATCAGTTCAGTTCTACTTTTCCATACTGTACTACAAATATGATTGTCATGAAGCACCAGGCAAAAACATGAAACAATTTTTGGATGCAGGGCACAGTTCTATGGATGGCAGATGTACGGTTCCCCTATACCATACAACAGACTGCACATCTGCTGAAACTGAATGTACACACACTTATCACAAAATATCTTATTTGTTTCTTTTCTTAAAGCTCCCAGTCTTTTTGTAAGGTTACTTCAAAAATGCCATTACGCACTGCTCAGAGCTGCTGGATCTTCCAGATGGAAACGTTCTCCCAGTTCCCACCAATGTTCTCTCCATTTCCATAAAATTACTGCGGGTTTTAAAGGTGTGGGAGAGATCTGTGTGGCACAGTTCTAAGGCCAGCAAAGGGAGCATAAATTAATTAAACCTTTTCCATATGCTTGGTAGCTGGTTTATGCTCAAAAAGCAGACAATACTTTCACACTGAAGAGAAAGCCAAACATTCCTGGCAAACAAAGTTTTCTTCTCTGTATCTCACGGAACTTTAAAGGGTCCTAAAAACATTTCATACAGAAAATGATATGAAATCCAGCAAAAATGTAAATTATTTTACTCCATTATTTACTTGATTTTATTTCTGCACACAGCATTGTTTGGGCCAGAATAAACTCTGGTGAAATATTCTAGGTGTTATACATTTTATCACACCTGATGTATCTCTCAGAACAACTCATATAGATGACATTATATGTAAGTCATAACAGTTGCCATAAAAACAAAAAAAAAATAAAAAGAACAAAAAACCACAGTAATGCAAGTCATAGCTGGTGGAGAAAAGAATCTTTACTTTATGGCTATAGTTTCACATTTTCATCAACACCCCCCCCTGTATAGGAAGTATTACATGCACTGATTCAAAACCAAAAGCTGTACAGGTCTGTTAGCGAAGAACGATTTGTATACATAGCTACTTGCCTGAGGAAGAGTTATTTTCATGAAAGAAAAAAAAAAAAGGATTTCTGCCACCACTTAGCTTTGCTTCTTTGTCATTAACAGCAAAATCTAGCACGATGTTTTTTCCAGCTGGTGTCCAGGTAACATTGCATGCAGACAGGACACAGCTGTACCTATTCTGCCACAAGGCCACAACACAGCCTTCAATACATCTCTAAGTAAGTCACTGATAAACAGAACCAGAGTCAAGGTAAGATATTCTCAAGCAAGATGTGTGGCACCAAAGGACTGAGTAGCCCAAGTGAGATTCCCTTGGCAGAGGGACAAGAAGAAGCAGTACTGCTGCTAGCTAGCAACTCTCCTCAGCTCCAGAACACTCACGGACTCCAAGTCAAATGGAAAACACTACTATCTCAAACTTAATTCACAACCTCAAGTCTTCATGCTCTGCATCCCACCTGAGCAGGAAGGCTTTGGGCTTAAAAGGCTTTGTCCACAACAGATTCTGCAGCATCCTTTATGAACCCACCGTGCCGAATGCCTATGAGCATCTGCTCCATGAAATGCCTCCGAAGTTCTCAATCAAGCTCAAGTCTTGAATTTTGAATCAACAGCAATGCTCACTGTAGCAGAAAAGGAGGCAAGAGTGCCATACGGAACTAATGCAAAGATTTTAACAATTTTTGATCCATCTGATATTTGATGGAAGTTACATAAAACCCTATTCATAACAAAGCATCATACAAAACAATTGAAGACATTAAAATGAACAGCTCAAAATTAAAGCAGCTGTTCCCAGACAATGGTTTGCAACTCAGAGGGATTCATGAACTCTCAGCAAAACTTAATTGCAAAAATCGGATTGTGTGCCTGCAGTTTGTGTGCCTGCAGATTGTATCCCTGCAGAAAGTCCAGGGCCACATATTAATGTCTGCCTTGACCTTTTTTGTCAGCTAAATTCAGTAAGCACTGATTTTTTTTTCATATTTCATGATGCTAATGATAATACTGTTTATACTGGAGACTTAAAAGCTTCACTACAAATCTGCATCATAGCAATGGCATAAATGAATAGGTATACACAAAATTCAAGGATTTTCTTTCATAAAATTCACAGCCTTCAGATTTACAAGCCAATAAACTGACTGATAGACATAAAAGAAATTGTTACCTCTGCATTAAAGAAGCTTTATAAACTCAGCTAAAAACCCAAACGACTTTTGACGTCTGTTTTTAAAAACAGAAAGAGCTTTATTTTTTTTCTTAAAATTATCTACCCTTATACTATTTTTGTGTTTCCCTGTCTTCAGCCCTGCTACTCATTTTTTGTTGTGCTTATATACTACAAACACCTTAAAACTACGCAACTGCAGGCAAATAAATCATAGTTGGCCACAGCAGAAAATGGTTCTAAACTGAAGGATGAAAAAAAAAACCTGAACATATTTTTACACTGAAAATACAACTTCAGGAAGCTAAAACTGTAGTTCAGTGGTTTGATAACTGCTACATTTCTTCTTATTTATTACTATGGAGGAAAATGGCACAAAACAACAAAATCAAGGGAAACAGATGATGCAAAGGATGCACCACAAAAAATAAAATCTAACATTTGGCAAATTTTGCAGTGGAAAAAATAGATATTTGACTCCATAATACTTCTCCCTTCCTGCTCGTTTTATCATTCCTGCACTTGAACTTGAGATATCACTGAGATATTTGTTTTTCTTCTACTAGCCATGAATAAAAATGAAGTCAAAAAGATGAGACCCACTAATGTCATCATTAATTTCATGAGACTAGATTTGCTCAATTTTTTTTTTATGCCGTGGCTTACATAATTACTTTAGCTGAAGTAAATTTCCTTAATGCATATGTTTACCAATGTTCACAATACGCTTTAGTAAAGGGCAGCCAAAGTGGTTCTAGCCAAAGTGCAAAATGGCAGGAATAGATAAAGAGCAATGGGAAAAAGGATACTAGGATAAGGATACAGAAGGTAACGCTGCACAAAGGATTGCTGTGCTCTAATCAGCTTTTTCTGAGCTTGGTCTAACTATTATACCTAAGCAGATATTTACCTGATAAGCAAAAGGGAAAAAACAGTACAATTTGGGAGTTTGGCCTTGTGCTCAAAAAAAAAAAAAAAAAAAAGAAGAAAACAAATGTGCTGTGCCAAAGCCATTTACAGGTTTAAATATCCATTTGTCAAGTAACCAAGGTGACAGCTTGTGGCAACAGCTTAAGACGACATAGGGTTGCTGCCACATTCTGTGTTCTTACTGTAGAAGACTGTTCCTGCAAAAGCAAGCTTAGCAAGCAAGAAGAGTTACCCATCAGTACAGCATCACTTCAGCTCACTCTACAGATAAGCTTTACAAAGCTGCTCTTATCCTAAGTCAATGCCTTCTCTTCCATCCAGACACAGCTTCCCAGAACTGCCCCAGTGTCATAAGTGGCACAAGGAAGGATGTCAGGCTGGTGATCTGGATGGCGGAAGGCTGACATGGGAACCACTCCTCTCATTTGGCTTTCCTTACAGAAAGGCAACTTCCAGCTCAGCATCTTCTGCATCGTCTGGAGAAAGTGACTCCACCTAAATCAGCGCTCGCTGAGGTTTTCTGCACAGGACTGATATTCTAAAGCAAGCATTTTCTTTCCTTTCATACTATTTTCTGAGAGCATCAACTTGGTTCATTTTTCCTTTTTTATTTACCAAATAAAAAAATACCAGAAGTAGTTTTGAGATTAAAACTGGAGTATTTATCCTGGACAAATACAAACCATTACACCTGTATACCAAGCTCTTCCCCACATTTTTATGACCCTTCCACTAACTCCAGAAGAATAACTTGCAGCACTAGAGGAAGCTCCTCACCTCAGAGTTCTCTATGTCTTCGAGTTAGCTCAAAAGGATGCTTGAACCTTTTCCTCTTTTTTCTTTTTTATGTTAGTCAACCATTGAACAAGACAAGAAAATTCTGCTAGCTTGCATCTGAGTCTGAGTCTATTTTTGATATTCCAAAGCAAATACATCCAGCGGTATAGCAAGACAATTTGCTCTAGCAGAAAACAGTAGCTTAGACACAGTCTTTTCAGTTTTAGAGATTTAAGGAAATACGAGGAGTTTTTCCATGCCTACTCAAACAGAAGGAGGTTTTTTGTTTTCTCAGGAAATAGAGATTTCAAATAAACAGTCCCTTCAAATGATCTTTTTAATCCATACAGAATTAATCAGAATAAAGATTTTTTTTTTCCTCATGTTGTTTTGACAAGAAAGTAGGGTTGGTCTTCCGGGAATCATGAAAACAAAACAGTTTTCTTTTCTGTAAAAAGAAAAAGAATACCATCTTTCCCTTAGTACCACATTCTTTGATTCAGAGCTTTGGTGATGGAAAATCTATGTGACTGAGTACTTGCACAAAGAAAGCAGCAGTTAAGAATGCCTTTGAATAGGACAAGCAGTGGCATGTGGGGAAGCAAAACAAAAAAAGGAGCGTGTTTTGGCTCTGTATGACATGTTTTGTACAGAAAAGAGAAGCCATGGTAATGAATTCCTTTCAAACCGGAGACACCGCAGCAAAGCAGGATACAGAGATCAACAGCAATTCACATGATGCCACTGGGAGAAGCGGCCACGATGACTGAAGAGAGACAATGACTGAGGAGCTGGACCACTGCCTGCCAAAACCTGAGCAGGGCAAGGGGCTGGGGAGGTTTGCCTGCTTCTTCAGTGGGAGAAAGGCTTGAGACAGAGGAAAATCAGGGCCTCGTTGTGCTTTCTCCTGGCACAATAACTGCCTTGGAAACAAAGCGGGACGTGTTAAGGCTGACTTTAGCATACCCTCAGCCTGCAATGTGGTTTGAAGCAAAAGGCTCCTTCTTTTCACCCTCCTCATCACCTAACTAATGGCAGTGCAG